AACTCCTTTCAACTTGCCACAACCCTATGGAGCAGACTGGCATATTCCCATGGTAGGAACAAGCACACAGCTGACAGAAAAGTGGTGGAAGCCCTCAGGCCATCAAGTAACAAGTAGGAGACGTGGCTGCGGACCCCACGGAAACACACACACACACACACACACACACACACACACACACACACACTAACACCTCCTGAGTGCTCACGACTGGGCGCCACCCACCACTCCCAGCACTTCCTCTACACTAACATGTGCCATCCTCACAACAGCCCTTTGATGTTGCAGAACTTGGCCAGCTTGCCCCATCAGGAGGCAGCATGGGAGCCCAGGCAACACCTGCCCTTTCCCAAGGCCTTCCATTGCTTCCGCTGGGCACCGATTGGACACCAAGGCACCTTTTCTGTAATTGAATAGAACCAAAAGTAACAGTTTGTTTCATATGCATTTCCAGTAGCTAACTGTAAAAGTGACCCCCCCACACATTTTTTTTCTAGAACATTCATGGCTCCATGCATTGCCTACTAGTTATAGTCTCAGTTGACCGTGTGTGGCCACGCCTTCCAAGTGTGTGTGTGTGGGGGGGGGAGCGGGGAGTAAATGTTCAAATGGCACATCTTCCGCATTCTGTGCCTTTTGGGGAGATTAATTCTTCTGGGGCTTTCCGTGAACATGAACATCTTCACGTTTTAAAGGTGACAGTGCTTCATCACATGGAAAGGAAGTCGATTTTCCCAGCCTCACCGAATGAGGAGTACAGGATAGCAAGCACCTGCCTGCAGTCTAGGAATCCCTTCAGAATTGATGTGCATAAAAGATGTACTAGTTTGGGGCAGAAAGTAGTACAGGGTGCAGTATTTCGCAGCTCTGGTTCCCAGGAGAGTTGGGTGTGATACATCACTTCCTTTTTTTTCCCCCAATCCCTAACCAGGTTTAATATTTCCATACCTGCTTTTCGAGGATGCTTGAAAAATCCAAAGAAACCAACCGGTGTTGTAAGGTTGACGGATACCGTGGGAGTAACAAAAAGATGCTCAGATGACTGGAAGGTGAGTGAGGGATCATCCTCGACCAGGGCGCAGAGCTCAGGGCTTTCCAAAGGTGGGCTTCCCAACTGACCGATCGTTGGTGTTCACCAAAACATCAACTTCTGACTATCTTTTTCTGGAAGCACAGCGTGAACTGCCTGATATACACTCCCCTCACACTGGCAAGACAGAGCACTTCAGAGTTGCCTGCTAACTTTGCAGGAAAACAGGGCAGCCAAAAGCTAGACACAAGTTAGAGATGATTGGTAAATGCATCTGCAGTCGAGTAAATTTTATTTCCTCCTGAGGCAAAATAAGTCACCTCAGCCAGTGCAGGTAAAGTGATAAAGGGTAAGTTACAGCATTTCAGTCACAAAATAATTGCAAGGCCAGTCATTCTTTCCCCATTTGCATTTCAGCTGGTACGAACGGCCTCTTTCTCCAGAGGAGGGCAATTGAGTTTCACCAACTTGGACACCAACTTGGACTCTGAATTTACCGCCAACTTCCAGGCTTCATTTGGGTTTCAGACCTTTCAACCCAGCGGCATATTATTAAATCACCAGACACGGGTATGAGATGTTGCATTACTATTGAATAAAATTGGCGTCACATACAAAGTCTGGTGAAAGAAGCAATAGCGAGAGTTTGAAGGTAGATTAGTTGGCTTTATCAATCCTCATGCATCAAATGCTGTTGAAACAACGGTAAGCAAAGGGGTCTTGCTATTAGGGTTCCTATTCAATCAGGCCCTGGGATTTGACAATGAAAAGGGGTTCAACCTGGCTCTGTGTTCAGCGGAAGTCGGTAGACAAGATTTTTCAGTCATACACTTGTCTCAGTCTTGTAGGGGTGCATTAAAAAAGAAGAGTGTACATTTTGTGGCGCAGAAAACACGTTTTTCTTCTTTAAATCATTTTACTGGGGCCTCGTACAGCTCTTATCACAATCCATCCATCCATCCATTGTGTCGAGCACATCTATACATATGTTGCCATCATCATTCTCAAAACATTTTCTTTCTACTTGAGACCTTGGCATCAGCTCGTTTTTCTCCCTCCCAAAATGAACCCTTAATAATTTATCTTTTTTTTTTCATGCCTTCCACCGACCTCTGTCTCCCTCCACCCATGGAGAACACATTTTCAAGGTTAAAGTTAACACAAAATGTTTAACAAACTCCAGTGAACAGCTTTCAAAGTCATTGAAGTTTTACAAGTTTATGCGAATGCTACCCCACTTAAAGCAACAGTTCCCAGTATCTCAAGGAAGGTCAGGAAAAGCTCCAAAAGGACTTCTAGCCAGAGGCCAGCTCAGAAGCTGAGGGCAAGTGTTAGGGGGAATTCCCAAGGAGTGATCCAGAAAGATTTTCTTGACGGATACAGGATGATCATAGGGGCTTGTCAAGAACAAGTTTTTAAGAAAATTGAAACTAAAATCCGTGAGAAAACTACCAGGAGGGTTGTGCCAAGGGATTGTTTTCTATCAAAACAATGCAAGTGTTCACTCTTCCAGGGTAGCATGGGCCATGCCCCTTCAGACTTCTGTTTGTTCTGCCAATTCAAAGACCATTGACAAAGCAAACAAGCCGAGTCCCTCGAGGACACCCAAACTGCTGTTTGATGTGATGACGTTTGATCGGTGCACACATCATCAGGAGAGGGTTAGAGAGATGGAAACACCACCTTCAGAAGGGTGTAGACCCAGGTGGAGGATATGCTGACATCTTTGATGGGTGTAGACATCTTCAGAAGGATGTAGACCTAGGTGGAGGATATGCTGAAAAGCAATGGCTTTACATGTTGCTATTTTTATTGCATACATAGTCATATGATTTTATAGCAGTGTTTTGTTAGTTTAAACTTAGCCCTTATTGCTATGGAAGCTTGTTTGTCCCCACCCTAGGATAGGTCCTCAAAGAATCTTAAAATTTTATTCTAATGATATTACAATGCATATAGTATATTTTAAGTGTGATACAGAATTGAAGTTGCATATCTTCAGGGAGTAGCTACCGTTCTCTTTAGATAATATTTTATAAGCTGGAGGGACCCTGGAGGCACAGTGGTTATGAGTTGGGCTGCCAACTGCAAGGTCAGTGGTTCAAATCCACCAGCTTCTCCAAGAGAGGAAGATGAGGCTTTCTCCCCCCATGAAGAGTTAGAGTCTTAGAAACCCACAGGGCAGTTCTATCCTGTCCAGAGGGTTGCCATGAGTTGGCCTCGATGGCAGTAAGTTTGTTTTGTTGTTTTGTGAAGTGAATTATAATAGCTGTAAGTAATAGTGTTGTTGAAGTTTTAGATCTAAGAAAGAATTCAGAATGGATCCCTATTATTAATTTTTTGTGACACAAAAGATAGATATTTAGCTTTTTTTTCTTTTGTAGCAGCAACAGCTAGTTGCACAACATTAACATCGGGTTGTGGGAACTTAAGGTCCTTTGACTTTACAACACAACCACAGAAATTCTCGTCAGCAAGGAAATCAAACTCGCCACTGCCAAGATTCCTGCTCATCATGACCTTATAGGACAGGGTAGAACTGCCCTTGGGGTTCCTGAGACTGTCACTTGTGACTCTTCATGGGAGTCAAAAGCCTTGTCTTTCTCTCACATGCTGGATAGTGGTTTGGAACTGCTGACCTTGTGGTTAGAAGCCCCAAACCACTGTTCTACCAGGCCTCCTTCAGCCAGGAACCTGTATAATTAGGAGAATTTAACTAAGATGGTTATGAAAGCAGAGAAGTCAACTGATTCTTGGAAATCTCCCGAGGGAGTGCTTGGGACTGCAGAAGTAGAAATAGAGTACTGTGATTCTTCTACTTGTTTCTGCGGGGTTGCCAAGCACAGCACACATCTAGTGCTTATTCACAGAGCGGATGGTAGCTAACTCTGGAGCTAGAGCATTGTTGTCATTGCTCACCGAGTCTTCTTTCTTTTTTAAACCCTAGCTCTGAAAGGGCTCCTACCAGCCTTGAGATTGTGGGAGTGCCTGGTCCATCAAGGCAGGAGGTTTTCTGTAGGTCTTCTGAAGCCTCACAGTTGTTTTCTCTGCCAAAGGCAAGGGATGCTTAGTGCACAGGTCACAAAGTTATCCAAAGCAATATAGTAGGTCGAACACGGATCCAGGACAGATAAACCCCTCAGGAACAGTATTGGGAGTAGTGATACCATGAGGGTAGGGGGAAGATGAGGGGAGAAGGAGGAGGAAGGGGAACGGATACCAATGATTGACGTATAACACACCCCCCCTAGGGGGATGAACAGAATGTGGGTGAAGAGAGACAGCGAACGGTGTAAGATATGAAAAGAATAATAATTTATCATTTATCAAGGGTTCACAAGGGTGGGAGGGTGAGGGAAGGAAGGGAAAAAAAGGAGCTGATACCAAGGGCTCAAGTAGAAAGAAAATGTTTTGAAAATGATGATGGCAACATATGTACAAATGTGCTTGATACAGCAGATATATGGATTGTTATAAGAGCTGTAAGAGCCCCCAATAAAATGATATCATAAATTTTTTTAAATAGGTTGAAAAGAAATCATAGGTTGGTACTGAATACTGGAGGAAGCCTAGAAAGATCCTAGGGATGCTGCTGTCAGTTTTATAATGATTTAGTTTAAAATGCATCCAGATGTCCAGTCTGTCCTTAATGTGAACATGGCCAATGGGAAATAAAACTAAACACAAGGTAAAATGGACAAGGGCTGTAAGTGCATCGTCTAAAAACAGTTTTGGACTAAAAGCTCACTGAAGAGTCATACCTTTTTTTCTTGTTGAGAACTGTAAAAGTTGATAAAAACTTGATAGAGAAAACAATCGATAAAATGAAAATCAACAGAAACAATGAAATCATTGCACCAAACCTATATCTGTGGATTTGACGTGGAAATTTGAACTCTCTAGCCATGGTGACCCCAAACCAAAATTAATAATGACTAAAGGGATCTCCTTGTTCTCATGTCACATGAAAGGAGTGAATTGATGAATCACCTTCATTGAAAAATATATTCGTAAAAAGACTGATTCCAGGAAAACAAGCCCAGTCAAGGCAAAGTGAAAGGAGAAAACATTGACAATGGTTTAACTGCACTGTCAAATTAACCAAGAGATTCAACTGGCTCAGCGAACGTCAGTTCCAAAAATTTGACCAATTCATCAGTGGTCAAATAATTTGCCTAAAAAATTTTATAGTCATAATCAGAGAGGCAAATGTGTATATATTTAAATCTTTAGACTGAAATGGCAAAGTCAAAAACATGGGAGTCAAAATGTCTTGACCATTTTTATATATGGTTTTGGTTGTGAATTTAGTATGGATACCTGCATAGTCCTTCAATGAAATGAATTGGGGTTTTTTGTTTTGTTTTGTTTTGTTTTTTAATCAATTTATTGAGGCTCATACAATTCATCACAATACATAGATCAATTGTGTAAAGCACATCTACATTTGTTGCCCTCATTATTCCCAAAATTCACTTTCCTCTTGGGTTTCCGGAATCAGCTCATTTTCCTTTTTTCCCCTCCCCCTCCCTTCCTCCTCCCCTCTCCCCCATGCACCCTTGATAATTTATAAATTATTATTGTATCTTATATTACACTGTCTGGCGTCTCCCTTCACCCACCCCTCTGCTGCCCGTCCCCCAGAGAGGAGGTTATATGTAGCTCCCTGTGATCCATTCCCCCTTTCTACACCCCCTTTCCCTCCTGGTATCACCACTGTCACCCCTGGTCCTGAGAGGTTCATCTGTCCTAGATTCCCTGCGTTTCCAATTCCCATCTGTACCGCTGTGCATCATCTGGTCTAACCAGGTCTGCAAGGCAAAATTGGGGTCCTGGTAGTTGGGGGGAGGAAGCGTTTAAGAACTAGAGGAAGGTTGTGGGTTTCATTGAAATGAATTGTTAATGAGCATATTCTACAATGGTTTCAGACCAATAGCCTTCAGGTCACTCTGGAAGACGGTCACATTGAACTGAGTACCAGAGATAGGAGCAGTCCCATTATCAGATCTCCCCAGAAATACATGGATGGTATGCTGCATCATGTATCTGTAATAAACGACGGCTCTGGGTAAGTGGAATGTATTGCCAGGGTTGTGAGCATGTAACTTTATTTCGTAAGAAATAAAGAGGGCTTGGTAGTCCTCTTTTTGGCCAAATATTTGTCCTTTATTCAGACACTAATTTGCTAGTCAGTCTTGGCCTTCTCTCTTATTCTACATCAACTTCCCCATTAAAATAATAAATCAACAATTGGATGGGTAAACTGGATTGTGGTGTATTCAGAACTGGAGGTTACACAGTCATGATCATGAGGGAGCTATAGCTCTCTATGTCTGGACAAACCTCCCAGACATGGTGTTTCAGTGAAAGAAGTCACAGACACCAGGTTTCATCTCCTGTGGTTCATCCGTACAAAGTTCAAACACAGATAAAATGAAGGTGTCCTATTAGAATGCAAGAGAGTGGTTCCCCCGCATGGAGAGGGAAGGGGCGAGGGGGGCTGGAGGCCCAGAGGAGCTTCCAGAGTGCAAGGGCTGGTCATGCTGTGCTCCTTGATCAGAGTGCTGGAAGGGCTGGCATAGTCACATGGGGAAATTCATTGAGCTGTACCCTTTTTAAAGAGCCCTGGTTGGCACGGAGGGTTGGACACTGGGCTGCTCACCACAGGGTCAGTGGTTCAAACGCACCACCTGCTCCATGAGCGAATGATGAAGCTGCCTGCTCCCATAAAGATGTCGTCTCAGCAGCCCCCAGGGGCAGTTTGACTCCCCCCAGGAGAGTCACTGTGAGGTAGATCAACTCCATGTCCGTGGGTGGAGCCCCTTCAAAAATACATGCTTTGAATCATGGTAAAAAAAATATTATAAACATGTTGCCATTTTAACCACTTTTAAGTCTTCGATTTAGGGACCTTAATCACCGCCATGTTGTGCAACCATCTATAGCCAAGCATGATTTCTCAGTCCAATTCAGAAACTGGGTGCCCTTCTCCCAGCTCCTAGTAACGCGAATGAGCTTCCGCCGCCATGCATGCTAGTGCTTTGCATAGTTTATATATGTGGGATCATAGAGAGTTACCCACTTTGGATATGGATACTTTCTTTGTGTATAGAAACATGTTAATAAAAATTTAGCATGCAAAAGGAAATATCTATATATTAACTTTAAATCCTCTTAAAAGATAAGTCCATGTAAACAAGTTACTGTAATGGGTCTGCGGTTCTTCTCATTCTTGACTTGCTGTCCTACTTTCAGCCTCCGGCTTCTGATTGATGACCAGCCCCTGAAAAGTACCGAGAGGCTACACGGCTTTTCAGCTGCCTCGCTGTCCACTCGGCTGGGCGGGAGCGCCTTTGAGGGCTGTATTTCTAACGTGCTTGTTCGGAGGTGGGTGCTGCTTCCCCGAGCGTCTCTGAGATGTGGAAGAGCTCTGCGGAGCAGGGTCCTGCCCGGCAGGAGGGCAGCTCATCCCTTCCTTTACAGAGTTAGGCTTGTAAACGTGAGCGCATCTCTCACCAACCTTCAAAGCACCCTCTTTGGCCAGACACATCCATTGCAAAGAGAATGAGAGGGACTCCTGGGCACAGGCTCCCTGTGGAAAAGCAGCATTGGTGCCTAACCTTGGAAAAGGTCTAATGAAAATGAATTCTCACATTGTGACCTTTAAAGATAGTCACATGGAAAGTTTGCTTTAATCAAGACTGCACAATTAGACTTAATCAGCTCTTCCAGTTTGGAAGGCCCAGGAATTGCCTGGCCCAGTGCCATGCTAGGAAACCAAGTCACCAGAGCCTTGAACGTGACCTCTAAGAGACAGAGGAGAGCTTGGTGCGTCCTTGCATATGTTACACACACACACACACACACACACACACACACACACGCACGCACGCACGCACAGATGGTGCTTAATCAGATTTTTTTTCCAAAACAATTTATAAGTCACACAGATGTTCCTATTTCCTATTAAAAAGTGATCATATTTGGAGAGGAGACAAAACTCCTTCCCTGGGGAAAGGGAGAAACTTCCCAGTGGCCTCAGGCTGTAGTGAGAGCTCTTTTCCTTCTCATTGTTGGGGCACATCCCCCTGAACCAGAATGGGTTCTGCATTCTCACACCTCTCCCGGTCAGCTGGTGAACCATCTCCCGGAGCATGAGCTCCCAATAGAACAGAAAGTGGGAGCGATGGAGACGATGGGGAGGGGAGGCTGGCTCCAGTTCCCACCACTGAAAGGCTTGAACTGCAGTCATGGGATAGAGCACATCTGAATCCCCCAGCCCTATGGTATAGTAAGACTCTCCTACTCAAATGTGGCAAAATACACCATTCCATGAACTTTCTAATGAGGTTTGCTCACATCATTCCGTAACATCCAGAGCCCATTTCTCCTCACTGCCCGGTCCCTGCTCCTGAGTCTGTCTATCTGGCGCCCCTTCCTAAGAGAGAGCCATGGTGTTCTGGGCTTTTCACCACCCTGGCCAGTTTGGGAAAAAACATTCCAAGAGCCTATTCTGGCAAGCCAGGGTGCTGGGTGTCCTAGGGAGACCAGCAGCCTGCTAGCACCTCTTGATGTCCAGGTCAGAGAGGCAAGTTCACCTAGAAGCCAGGGAACAAGCCCTTGCTGCCCGCGTGTCCCCACGGATGGGTTGGCACCGTTTGTTTGGCAGCAGCTGACATTTCTGCTCTTGTTTCAGATCACAGGACCCCCACATTCTAGATTTGATCAGTACATCTTCCAAGAGAGATGTATCCCTGGGAAGCTGCGCTCTAAACAAACCACCGTTTCTAATGTTGCTGAGAGGCACCACCAAGTATACCAGATCCAAAGCCAAGGCCTTCAATATCCACATGGTAAGTGTCAAACCCTTGCCCCAGCCTGGTCTCCTCTCCAGAGGTGCTCCCTGCCTGTCCTGTGGGAGGTGCTGGCTCAGGGTGAGAGAAATGCAAGGGTCAGCTGGGGGGCCGTGTGTGGCTCACTTAGTGTCATTCAACTGTTCATGACCCATCAGTCCTGCTTCACATGCCCCGTGCTTCTCTTTTTGGCTTTTATTTTGAATCGTGATGAAAATTTGGCCCTTTTTTTTTGCAGCCTTAGAACAAACGGCCCCTTGACTTCAGTTTCTCAAGAGGAGCTCTGGAGGCATCAGGGTGATGTGTTGTGCTACCATCCACAAGGTCAGCAGTTTGAAACCACCAACCTCTCTCAGGGAGCAAGACAGGGCTATCGACTAATAAAGGGTTCCAGTCTCCGGGACTCACAGGGGCAGTTCTACCCTGTCCTAGAGGGTTGCTGGGTTGGCATCAACTCGATGGCAGCGAGTTTGGTTATTTTTTTTTGAGTCAAAACCAAACTCGCTGCCAATACTGACATAGCAGCCCCACCGTGTGTTTCTGAGTCTGTAATTGTTTAAACTGAAAGCCCAGTCTTTCTCCCAAGGAGCTGCTAGTGGTTTCAAACTGCTGACCATGTGGATCGCAGCCCAACACGTCAGTGCTACACCACGAGAACTCCTGGTAGTTTTTGGAGTAGGTGTGATGGATTTCTCTAGAAAACCGGGTCCCTGTTCCTGATTCTCCCCGGACCTTCCGCTGCCCTGGTGGAACTCCCATCCACCCAGTGGTTGTCTGGACTCCTTCATTGCACCCAAGGGACACCTGGCGAGCTTTTTCCATCCAGGTGTCCCGGCTGCTTCCACCCAGTGAAATCAAACTCCAGGAGTGGGCCCAGGGGTCACCGTTTTGTAAAGCTCCCAGGTGATGCTAATGAGCAACCCTGAGCGCGGCTGACCAGGCAATGAAAGGCCTCATGGTGGAGAATGGCAGTGTCATCAGGACCTGAACAACGGGATGGGGCTGGGACACGGGTTTCAGACGGAGCATGTGACCGCTCATATTGTAGGTTAGAGTCAGTGCGAGGAATGGAGGTCAGCCTCTCCTGGGCACCAGGCAGTGAGCTAAACTCTCTAAGCAGATTTTCTTACACATCTCCATAAAACCTTGGGAGAACTCACCACACCCTCAGACAGCAAAGGAGACTGTGGTTTAGACTGTGGTTTAGAAAGTTCACAATTGGCTCAACCCGGTGGAAGATGGAGTTGGAATTCAAATGCAGGTAGACTAATCCTAAGCCCTGTCCCCTCTAAAGCGCAAGGAACTTCTGGTCAACCTACTTTCTACTTAAAGTCGGCTACTTGCTGCACAATGATTTAGGGCAGGGGGTGAGGTGGGGGTTTGAATAGATAAGGTTTAACAAAGCCAATATGTTTAAACATAGTAAGAAATTGTTTGTGTCATTAAGAAGAAATGTACTTCATAAATCCCAGAGGGTTGTCATTTTATCGTTAGGAAAATAACATGCTTAGTATTGCCCCAGCAGGAATGAAGTCACATAGTCATTGTTTCATTGCAAGGCTGAGAGTTAGTGGGAGGCTAAATGAGCACACTGATGATGGAGCTGGAGAGAAGCAATAGATTCCAGAGCTATGATTCAGATAGCATAGACAGGCCTTTGATAATAGTCAAATGTGGGAGGCAAGGGAGAAGTAGGAGTTGAAATATTTCTGAAGCACCAAACTGGGTTATTAGAGAGATGGAGATACCATTCAGGGAGACAAGAGATGGGGGAGGAGCACTTGGAGGGGGGAAAATATAAGTCAGGCATGGCACATTGAATGGCAGGTACCTGCAGGTTATCCATGTGGAAAAAACAGAGGCTTTCAGGTCTCTGCTGGGCTTCCAGAGCCAGGGTGGAATGGGGAGCTATTGATAGGGGAGATGCCAATGCATCTGTTGTCCTTTCTTATTTCCCCCTGTTCTGTGTAAAGCCCCAGGTTAGATAAATTAAGACAGGAATCCTGCTTTTTCCAAAAGCCCCGTTGGAAGAAGGCCACATAGCTTCCCAGGTACATACTGGACTGAGGGGGAGACTTCCTAGGTTTGAGTTAGGCATCATCATTTGCGAGGTGTGTAACAGAGTTAGTTGCTTAGGGTTGCCAGCACAAATACCACACAGCGGATGACTTTCGAGAATTGAAATGTACTGAGACTAAATGAGGCTAAGAATCCAAATTCAGGGTGCTGGCAGGTGCTGTCCTCTCCAAAGGTTTGAGAGGAAGAGCCTTGCTTCTTCCTGTTTCCGGGAGCCTGGCACATCGTTTGGCATCCCTTGACTTGTAGATGTATCTTCACATGGTGCCTTCCCCCTGGGGACCCTGTCTCCATACCTGCTCTCTCCTTTTGTGAACCACAGTTCAGATCGGGTTAGTACTGATCCTACCCCAATATGACTTCAGTAACTTATCACATTGTCAGAGAAAGACCTTATTTCTAAAGAAGGTCACATCCACAGGTACAGGAGGGGTCATTGTGAGGGATCACAGTCCAATTCCTAGCCGTGGGCTGTGACCAATTACTTCACCTCTCTACGGGGGGGGGGCCTGTTTCCTCTAATGCAGCAAAACACGACTGCTATCTCACAGCATTGTGTGGAAGGTTAAGTGAAGTCGTCAACACAAATCTCTTGGGACAGTGCTTGACCCAGTAAGAGCATGAATGAGTATTAGCTATGGTTCTTACACAGAAAAATAATGGAAAGGCAAAGGACCTAGTGTGCTATAGGAGTGGTGCGGCGGGAATTCAACCACCATCGAGATGAGGTGCGGCTCCCCTGGACTGAGTCTGGATGGTGGGCAGAGTTGGAGCAGGTCTCTTGGAGTTGCCTAAGCAGAAACACCAGTCAGGGAGGCAGGGTGTGGATGGGGATTTCAGGGGTAAGACACTTTGCATCATTATCTCTGATCCTCCAGTTTTCCCTACTGTGCTTTCCAATTCTCACCACACCCTCCTGAGAGCAGAACAAAGGCTGACGGTAGAGGGGAGGACACTGAGTTTCTGGGAGGTTGACCAGATTTGCCCATGAGCACTCAGTACAGTGGAATGCGGATGCAGACTGAGGACACGCCCTCCAGGCCACTTTGGGAGGTCCCGCCAGGCTTGTCAAGCATGGTGGATGGTGGGGAATGTGGTTGGGCTTCCTTCCATTCATGGTAGAGCATGGAGAGCAGTGGGAGGTAGGGTTGGCATCACAGGCCAGTGCCAGGTCACAGGAGCCTTGTAGGGTTTGGAGATTGTTAAGTTGGTCGTCGATGGTTTGGTGTAGGAAAGCTCTGGGGTCAAAACAGCAAATTAATGCCAGGGTCCAGCCCAGGGACCTGGGTCAGTCAAGGGCCAGGCTTTCAGGACCGAGATGCTGGAGCTGAAAAGGAAGGAGTGGAGACAAACTAGATCCATGAGATGGAAGATTACCCATGAAACTAAATGCGCCAAAGAGAGGCGAGAGAGGTGGCTGCCAACAAAGGCCAAGATTTCGGGACGGGTTATCTTGAGGGACAATGGTGCCATTAACAGAATGAGGAAAGAGTTGGTGGAGAAGGATATCTATCAATCCTGTTCCTCTTGATTTTACTGTTGCTGACCACAAAGAAGAATATTTCAGCAAGGGAGTAAGGCCCACTGGTGTGGTTTGCAGGCAGGAAGCTCCAGGCTGGGCTCACAACTCAGTAGGACCAAGGTTAGGCTCTGCTTTTAAGGAACAGATATGTTTGCAGCCTGAATACCTTATCCAGGGCTGAAGAAGCACACCCTGAACTTGAAGGAACCCCAATCTCTTGGGAAGCCTTCGGCTGGTAGACCCTAGAGCCCCACTGGGAAGGGCTTAGGCAACAAGGGCATCTATAAGCTCATAGACTAAATGGTGCAAAGGAGAAGCTGGGCTGCAGGCGTGGTCCGTCAGTACCTGAGCTCTGCGTCCCCCATTCTTTAGCTCTTTTTCTCAGTAGCTCCAGACAACCAGGGCTTCACAACAGTTCAGAACCCATCAGTGGTTGTCCTGGGAGTGTTGCATAGCAACCAGATCTATTGCTTGTAGTATTTTGGCCTCAAACTGTGGCTCCCTGAATACTGGTTGGTCTCTAGCACCCTGCCAATAACCTAATCTCCTGCCTCGGGCCCCTGAAGCTTTTGGGAGGAAGGACTGTAGTGGGGCTTTTCAGGAGCAGTATAAGCCACAAAGCAGCAGTCAGTAGGCATCTTGGAGCAGGGCACAGCTGTTTGCGTCCTGCCTCATCGAAGTACCAGGGGCAGCAGATTTGGTTGCTATGCAGCACACCCACAGCCTTTATTGATGACAGCCTTACTGAACCATTTTGAACAGTCCCAGAGCCTGGCGGACAATATACCCACACTATATTATACCCAACAAGAACAGCTCTCATTCTTCCCTAACTCCTACTCAGGAAACACTTCCCAGAATTCCTACCTCTCAACTTCCTCTTCAGCCTCATTGATCAGGGTGAGGTCTTCATCATTTTTGATCCAAGGAATCAGTGTTATTTGCTTTGCTTACTGGAGGTTCCCGGAGCCCTGGTGGTGTAGTGGTTATGCCTTGGGCTGCTGACCACAAGGTCCGTCATTCAAAACCACGAGCCAGCTCTCCTGGATAAGGATGAAGCTTTCAACTGCTGTAAAGAGTGACAGTCTGGGAAACCCACAGGGGACAGTTCCACTTGTCCTGAAGGGTCGCTCTGAGTCGGGAGCGACTCCATGGCGAGTTGTGTTCTCATGGAGGTCCCTGCTGAGCCAAGGCCTCCCAGAGAGGCCCTGAGCCCTGCTTCCAAAGCTGTGCTCTGTGGTAGAAAAAAGGGGGAGAGGGCTGTGGAATCTCAATTTCTTCCAACGCATGTTCTAGTTACAAATGATATTTAGGATGATGATTTTTCTGCATGGGACTCAGTCCTGTGCACAGCATCTCCCAGGTCAGGACACGTTGTGTATGTTCCAGCCAGCCCGGAAAAACCCAGCGGAGGACTGTGGGTTTGCCTTGATTTCCTTTCCTGCGAGCTCCTTCTCCATCCTCTCACTTGTCCGACTTCACAAGTTGGCTTGGGGGTGGAGAGTCAGTGCACCCAAAGGAGTGGCCCTGGAGGGGAGAGAAAGAGCAGGCTGTGTTTCCACATCATCAAGACCCCCTCGCTGACTGGCTAAACCTTGGTGCTTCTGGCCAAAGGCTGGTCCTCTCGTGGAACCTGTTGGGGTGCTTCCCATGTTCTGCTGGGGGGCGGGGGCGTTCTGCGTGTCTGCTGGTCCCTGCCTTTAGAAAAGAGACCAGCATGGTGAAAGATGGGGACAACGTGCATCCTTCCCAAAGAGAGAGTGAGAAAGGGGCATTTGACTCTCATAACTATTATTTCCCCCAAGAAAGTGACCCACACCCCTTTGCAGTCGTGGGTTATACCTTCCTACCAGCAAGATGCCCCACGTCAAAGCCACATCAGAGCATTGGGCATTAGGAGGATCCAGCTGCTGGAGAGTTAGGCATCTTGAGAGCACGCTCAGAGGGTCCCGAGGGGGAGCTTCCTCCAGAGAACCTGGCACTTGGTCTTTGATATCGCTATTAGATTAATCGCTGAGGATGCAGAATAAAACCTATGCAAGCACCCAGAGAGACCAGCACTCTTCACTCATGCCCTGATCACTAGCTCTCTTTGTGTTTTCATCTCCCACGCAGCCATTGCAGGATGCATCAGTGGCCTTTTGGAGGAGCTCGGCGGTGATGAGCGAGGCACAGTCTTGCCTGCCACCTCCCCAGGCCCATTCCAGTCACGGAGCCCTTCAGTTTGGGGACAGTCCCACCAGCCACTTGATATTTACACTTCCTCAGGAGTTGCTGAAACCCAGGTATGATCCCGTTTTCATGCCCCGCACCATGGCCGTGCGAGCATGACACCCTGGCTCCCTGGTCCGCCCCAGGGAAGGGCAGCCGGCACGAGTCCAGCAGGGAAACAGTCGTGCTGCCCAGGGCTAGTCTGCAAAGGACACATCACATGATCGTTTGCAGCATCCCCCAGGGGTCGGGACACAACCATCGCAGCGCACTGCTCGAAGGCTAGAGCCATCCGTCCCGTTTAGAATTGGCAACATTCTAAAAATAATGCAGAGCCTTCTTTCCAAAGCTGTTATTTCTATTATAAGCCACCTCTTTCCCCCCTGCATTTAATAAAGGCAGACTCGGTGCCAAATAGATCCGTTTTAAGGAATTTGGCCTTTGTCATGCTAGGAAGTTACATTGTCCTGTGAAGAAGAAGGGATGAACCGAGATGTGTCGGAGGGAAGCAGACAAGCAAGGCTTGTCACGCTCAGGTGATGTGAGAGGGTGCCCAAGTCTTGCCTTTGTGACTTGTCTGCAGAGGCAGGGCTGCCCAGGAGGGACGGCTGAGTTTGAAATCTCCACTTTCTGGCTGTGTGTCCTCATGCCAGGCCCTGGCTCTGGTCTTCTGAGAAACAGGTGCCAAGATGGGATTAGATAGACAACCGATTCTTCGTGGGAAAGATCAAGTTGGGGGAGCAGACACAGAGAGGGAGAGGCTCCACACGGCCATGCGGGTCCAACATTTGTGAACAGAGAGGGGGAGGTCAGAGAATGGACAACAGAAGCCAAGATCACAGAGCAGCTGAGAGAAAGTCCTGGCCAGGCTGAAGGGCATGGCCACTTGACCCTTTGGAAGTGGTCGGTGTCAGGTATTCGTGGCCCTGCCCTAGAACCTCAGCTGTCAGAAGCGAGACCTCATCCAAACGCCCCTGCAGAGCCCTTGGTGAGGGAAACTGCCCGGCTGGGGTGCCCCACAGCGGTTCTCTTGACATCAGCCTCGCATGGCACAACTCCATGGCTACCTTAAGCTGTTATCAAGCCTTCCTAAGCCTCGACTTCCTCTCTGTGTATCTGGGGTCATTATACCTGCCCAACAACACCCAACCAACAAGACAGTCCAAATAAAGTTGCAGCAGTATATCCACAAGGAGCTGCCAGAAAGTCAAGCCAGATTCTGAAGAGGACATGGAGCCAAGGATATCATTGCTGACAACAGATGGATCTTGGTTGAAAGCAGAGAATCCAAAAGAGGTTACCTCTGTTTTACTGACTCATGCGAAGGCATTCACCTGTGTCATCACCAATTAGGACAATGATTGGGAAGAGCGGGGGTTCCAGAACACTTCCGTGTGCTCCTGTGGAACCAGTACACAGACCAAGAGGCAATTGTTCAAACAGAACCGGGGACACCGTGTGACTTGCGACCCGGAAATCATGGTTGTGTGTTTCCCCACGCTCCTTCAGTCTATGTGCTGAACAGATGACCCCAGAAGCTGGTCTAGATGACCTCGAGAGTGGAGGCAACCTACAATCGACACCTTGTGCCATGCAGGTAACACCAACCTTTCTTGTGAAAAGTGAAGAGGATTTGAAGCACTTAGTGATGAAGCTCGAAGCCTGCAGTATGGATAACACCTCAATTTAAAAAAAATCCTTGCAGCTGGACCAATAAGCAGAATCACGATAAACAGACCATATTGAGGCTGTTATGGAGTCATTTTTACTTGCATCCACAATCAACACTCGTGGAAGCAGCAGTCAAGAAATGAAATGATGGATGGCAATGGGCAAACCTGATGGAAAGACCTCTTTAAAGGGTTAAAAAGCAAGAATGTCACTTTAAAGACCAAGGTGCACCTGCCCCAAGCCCCATACGCATGTGAAAATGCAATCATCCAAAAGAAAAACCAAAGAAACATTGATGCCTTTGCATTTGAGTGCTGGTAAAGATGATTGAATATGCCACAGACCCCAAGAAGAATGAGCAAATCTGTCTTAGAAGCAGTAGGGTCGGAATGTTAGAGGTGACGATGGCAAGACTAATATCTCATGCACTTTAGACATGGAGAAAAGGGAGACCCTCCCTCCACCAGATGGATTAACGCAATGGCTGCCACCGAGGCTCATGCATAGCAAAGGGTGGAGGATGCCATCGGAGCAGAAAGAGATCTGTTCTGCTGTACAACAGAACTCCCACGAGTTGGAGCCGACTCGATGGCACGTACCACCACCACCATCAACATACCCGCCCAGCACCTCCATGAGAGGGAGACCTGGCAGTTTGCTCCCATGAAGACTATAGAAAACAACCAACCAACCACCACCACCACCAACAAAACCCTATGGGAAAACTACTTTGTCATGTGGGGTTGCCATGAGTTGAAAATCAACTCCACAGCACCTGTTTTCAGGTCCATAGCTGGTGCAAGTAGTCTGTGCTGGATTACTAACCCAGAGGTTGGCAGTTCAAAGCTACTCAGAGTTTCCATGGAAGATAATCCTAATGACAGAAATATGACACAAATATTACAGTCAAGAAAAGTCTAGGTAGCAGTTCTGCTCAGACATATACGGTCGCCAAGAATCAACTGGACTCGATGACAGCAACTTTGCTTTTTTGTTTGGTTTCCCTAATTCAAATGACTAACTCAGAGCGTCAAATTTCGCATCAGTTAAGCGAGGTTAATGCAGGTAGGAGACCTTCTGGTTTACAGAGAGTCTGGCCCTGGCGGCTCTATAGTGGGCTCTGTGTATGATTCCCAACCAGATGTGAAGGCCAGGAGACAGGGTTGTGTTCTGAAGGAAAGAAGCCTATCCACCTTCATGTCTCCAGTCACCGCATGGAAAATGTAGGGATTTCCAGAAACTGTTCTAGTGGAAGATTGAAGATGAGTGGGTAGGAGTGGCTGTCTCTCCCAGTCACCAGCCCCTTCCTTCCTTTCTTCCTCCCTCCATCCCTCCCTCCCTCCTTTCCTCCCTTCCACCTGGGTGGGAAAGCCCCCTCCCTAACCTGCTCTATTGAACCACCTCAACCACCTCACCAGTTGTCACAGAGTTGGGGACAGCATGTGTGTCAGAGTGGATGTGCTGCATACATAAGGTTTTTACTGGCAGATCCCCGGCCTTTCTGTCAAGGTGCCTTCCAGTTAGCAGCCCCGTGTGTTCACTGTCTGCAGCACCCAACGACTCCCATCTCAACTCAAGCTGACCCTTAGGAGCACAATCCCTTCTGTTAAAGAAACAGCTGCAGATGCTGCCAACTCCCCGTTCCTCACTCTTCTTTATCTCGGCTTCCTCCCCGCCCCTCCCTCATCCCTTCATCTCTTCTCCCCACACCCCCTGCCCCGGCAAACAGCTTTGCCGCCCACCCCTTGCTTCTTTCCGTCCTCTCTCTCTCTGGGCTGCTTCCAGTGATCCAACCCTACTGTCTTTCCTCTCAACACGAATAACAGGTCATAGGCCATACAGTTTTCAAAGCACCATGTGGAAGGGCAAATTATTTAAGAAGAAAGTCATCAGTAAACGTAATTTAGAAATGTCAGTCCCCAATAGTATCCCCCAAAATTGCATTTTCGGAGACTTGCACACTTTGAAGTATTCTTTATCTGCTCTCCTCATTCTGACCTATGTGCCAGCACTTTTAGAAACGCACCTTTAAAATATCGAACCAACACACCCAGCCCCTTCGTGGATGCAGGATAGTGTAACTGCACAGTCTCTGCCTCCCCCTCCCCCTCCAGCCGGCCGTAATGAAGAGTCGCGGCCGCAGTACCGACAGCCACCAACATTCAAATGACTGCCGCCTTTTTAAGGTGTTAGTCTTTTCTGGGAACGGCTTTATGAAAACAATTTATGAACCACTTCTCCTTCAAAGGAAATGCCAGGCCTGCTACGCAAGCCCACAAATGTACAGTGCTTTCATTCTGTAGCAAGCTCTAATATGCTCCTTAAATTGGCCAACCTTCATTCTTCAAAACTCCGTCGTACGAGCACACAGACATGCCAGGAGAAACACGGAGCTTGCCGCTAGCTGCTTGGTTTAATCGGACAAATAGAGATTCTACTTCATCTTGAAGAACGTGGCCCTCAAGGAAACTTGCGAATCTGAAAGATAAAGTGTGCGTGTCAGTGGCCCTCTGTGTCTCCAAAAGCAGGGCGAAGGAGCGCTGCATTTCCCTTCGACGTGTAGATTCTGGCTCGACATTTCTTGTTACCACCCAGTTCCCTCAGTAATGATTTACTGAGGGTCACCTACGTAGGGGGCACTGGGGATGCAGCTCTAAGCCCGGCACACCCTGTTCCTGGACCTAGTCTCGTGTGCATTTAGACATGAAAGAAATACAACTGTGTCGTGAGCTGATTGATGGTACACCCCCACTACTTGAGTTACCCCTACCTCTCAGTCCATCTGGAAACCATAAATCACTCAAGGCCTGAAGTGTGCATCACTGAATTGCCTGTGCCAAGTGCCTTGTGCATAGTTCACACTCAATGTTCATTGAATGGGTGGATGGATGGATGGATGGATGGATGGATGGATGGATGGATGGGTGGTTGGGTGAATGTGAAGTCTCACCTTCCATATAGGAGATCTAGGTTTCAATACTGGCCAATGCACCTCTTTTTCAGCTACCACCCATCTGTTAGTGATGGCTTGCATGTTGCCACAGTGCCAAACAGATTTCAGCAGAACTTCCAGACTAAGGTAGAGTAGGAAGAAAGGCCTGATCATCTACTTCCAAAAATCCAGCTAGTGAGAAGCAATGAGTCCCAACCGTCCAATGCTCCTGTGCGTGGGAGTGTCACCCTGAGTGGGGGAAGGCGATCTCTAGTATGTGTCATGGGGCTAAATATTTCTTGCGGAAAGAAAATATGCACCATATGCTTAAATCAATCTCTGTTATTCAAGTTGTCCTCTTACCCTTCCCGGCTTCCCTCTCCACTAAGGCATGTGTACTGGCATGCTTCTGCCTCCCCTCTGCTGGGAACTACACCAATAGCTACAGTCTGCCGTGGAAGTCCTTCAGTATCCCCCAAGGCAGAAAGGAAGTTAGACAAGACAGTGTTTAACAGCTGGCATATCATGGTTTGAAAACATCTCAAAGAAACAAGTCATGTCATCAGTACGTGCCTCCGCTCAGGCCTTTGTCAACCAGGGATCTCAGTGTTTGCCCCCGGCTCCGAGAGTCAGGGAACAACTTAAAAAACAACCTCACACTTCTGTTTGCCTCCTTTGCCTTCTCCTCTCTCCCCTTGCAGGTGGCAGTTTGCTATGGATGTGCAGACGACCTCCGCCAGAGGGCTCGTGTTTTACGTGGGCACCAAGAACTCCTTCATGGCTCTGCACTTCTCAAAGGGACGCCTGGTCCTCACATTAGAAACAGAAAGAAAGAAACTGAGACTCAAAAGCAGAGGGAAATATGACGATGGGAAATGGCACACGGTGAGAGCTAAGGCTGCGCTGGAACAGCCAACGGGTGCCGTGTGCGCAGCTGGAAGGAGCAGCCTTCCTCCCGGGCACAGAGGGAGGAAGCTACTGGGAGGGGTTGGAGTGTCGGCAAGTGCTGACCCGGCCAGCATCTCAGCCAAGGCCTACCCAGTACATGGCGGCCTAATGCCAAGAGGGACTTCCTTCGTCCCCACGAAAAACCATGGCTGCCTCACTCCCCTGGCCTCCTCCCACCCTCTTCTTGAACAATCTCTCTCTGATAGGGCCTGTTTCCAAGTTTCCCCACATCACAGGCTACAAGGCCCACTTTCCTAGCATCTCAGCTCTTGCCTGAAGGTATCAAGACGTAAAGGAACAGGCCAGAAAGAGCCTCACCTGTATATATATATAGACACATACACACATATACTACTATATATACAAATATATTTATATATTATCTTATGTAAAATATATTTTATAACTATGCTATATTAATATAAGCGTTTATAGATAATACAGAAATCTCTTATATAGTGATTTAAATAAATATATCATATATGGCTATATTAAATGTAAATATGTATATGTTAATGTATATTATTATAATTATATTATAAATTAAGTAAATACTTAGTCTACATTATATATAAATAGATTTCATAATATATTTTTTCCTGATAAGAAAACTGGATCTCAAAATAATTAAGTGATCTGCCAAATTGTACTCATCCAACAATGATAATATCTATGCCTTCCTGTGCCATATAAAAAGAATACCCAGTATCATTTAGGGACTGAGTTGAGGAGAAAGAAAGAAGGGTTAGACACTTTGAATAAGATATTCCAGGAAGATCTCCTCTAAGAATGGAAGCACATGCCGAGTTACTGGGAAGATGCTCCAGGCAGAGGGAGCTGCGCACACAAAGACCCCGAGGTGGAATTAGCTGAGTGAACAAAGCAGAAAATCGTAAGACACGCACAGGGGGACAGAAGTAGGGTCCTCATCACGTAAGGTATGAGGGCCACGCTAACAATTGGGTGTTTATTTTCAATGTCCCTGAAGCCTTTGCCGTCATTGTTCAGTTGGGTGCCGCCTAGTCAGTTCTGACTCAGTCACCTTCTATACAGCAGAGGAAACACCACCTGGTGCTGCAACCGCTGCACAAGTGCGATGCTTGAGCCTGTTGCTGCAGCCGCTGTACCAATCCATGCATCTCATTGAGAGACGACCTCTTTTTCATTGACCGCTATTTTGGAAGCCTTTGAAAAGTCTTCAAGAGGAGAGTTGCTGAATAGATTTCTATTCCATAAACTTCCATCGGCCGAAGGAACTGAAATGAGGGTCATGGGGTGGGGAAGAGGAGAAGTGGGGAGGGGCCAGATGGGTGCTGTTGGCTTGGTTTCATGAGGCCATGCTAAAGTTGGAAAGAAGTGGAGCCCTCTGGCTTGGGTTCTGAAGATAGGCTCCAAGGGGACTTACTGACCAATTGGCGTGGGGAAGAAAGAGAGGCTTCAATAGCAAGCGCATCCTTGGTTCCAGAGCAGTGACTGGATCGATGGTTGGGCCCTCACTGTGGTGGAGAAGAGGGAGAGGAGGCGGCGTGGCTGGGAAAGGGCAGTTTTGAGCTGGGGGAGACAGGAGTCCTGTTGTGACCATGTTAAAGTTGGGTTGCTGATTGGATATTCAAGTCCATGGATCAGTAGGCTATAGAGCAGAGGCTCCAGCAGGGTGCATAACCTGGGAGGTATTCATTGATAGTTTCTTAACATTGATCCACAAAGTTGAGACCCTCTTGTTAGAAGAGAAACAGCCACGTTCCCCAGGCACAAAACCCAATCAAAGGTAAGAGTCCTTTTCCTTCTCTCACCTGTTCATGAAGAACTCTCCCCCTCTGTGAGATGCTGTTGCTCTACTCGTGTCTTTGGCTTTTCATTTGGTTGTTGTTAGGTGAGTGTCCACCTTAGTATTTCTGTCCTTTTCTCAGTTTGCCTTTGAGCATTGGGTAGCAGTTTTTTTCAGTATCTACTAAAATGATAGTGATGATGACAGTGACAGCACCAGAGAGGACAATCTTGAGTTTATTAAAGCTATTGGAGGGGCTAGAAAAACGTAACTTTTTTTTCTGGGCCCACTAATAAGACACAGTATGCATTGTTAAGAGTAAATATGTTATCAACCTTTTTCCCTCAGGTGGTGTTTGGGCAAGATGGAAGAAGGGCGCATATGGTTGTGGATGGGTTGAAGGTGCAGGCAGGAAGTTTGCCTGGAAATTCCACTGTCAGCATCAGAACACCAGTTTTCCTGGGATCATCTCCATCAGAGAAGTCACCGGTAACTCGCTGCACCTCAGAACATAATGGTTCAGCTGGATTGTTAGGCTTTTGTTGTCGAATTGTTGACATTTTCTATATATTTTAGAGATCAGACCCTAATTGGGCATATCACTCCCAAAGATTTTGTTTCCCCAATCTGTAGGTTTCAATGATGTTTTAACTTATCCAATTAACGTCTACAAATCCCACAGAGAAGGGAATTTACCTGTTCATTCCAAGTCCTTCCCAGCTTTTAGCCACCCCCACCCCCTACCTATCCCATACTTTTTATTGTGGTAAATATATATATAAGAAAGCACTTCCATCTCAACCATTTCACAGGTATAGCTCAGTGACATTAATTATGCTCATCACATTTGGTCCATTATCACCCTTTACCCTGGCCTACGTGAGCTCCCACAATATGCCACACTCTTAGAAGAAGCTATCTTTAAAGCATTGAGTCATCCTTTCCCCTTTCCTGCCTCCCGCCCCAGGGAACCACTAATAAACACCAGCCTTGCCTATTCTAGACATTTCATGTAAGTGGGAACACGTGACAGTTACCCTTTTTGATGGCCTTCTTTCACTCCGCAGGATCTTTTTACTAACCTTTTATTTTTGAGGTGCAGGTTTGGACACTGACCTAAATATAGAGCTTCTCCACGGCTTTGTAAACATGAATCTCTTTGCTCCTCTTCAAAGGGAGACAACGATAGTTGTACAAAAAGCTTGTTTTTTTGTACTATAGTGTAGTCTAAGCTGTAGTCATTTGTTCTTCCTTCAGCATCTTGGCCATCTCCGGTTATATACTATTAAATTCAAATTCGCCTTTCAAGGATACTTTTATCACCGTCATAAGTGAAAATCAATATCTCTTGCCATAAGTAGTAGGCAACCATAGAAATAAATATACAAAAACATATGTCACGAAAATAAAACGGTGTTTTAAAGTCGAGCTAGATAGTGTGGCCTCTTCTCCCTTTATTTGCAAAAGCAAATTGACAAGTGATTGAAGTGTGTTTAAGACACATTCTCACTGAATTAAAGTCTGCTCCTTGTCTAATTAGAAGGATGGAGGGAGCATTGAAAAATGACTTCGTATATGCTTTAATATTAGTTAATGTTTGAAGCAAACTAAAGCTATCTCAAGAATCAAACCTGAGGGCCCTTGGCTAAGGGAAACTCACATGCCCTGTGCTTCTAAGGAGAGGGGTCCTTACCTGGATTTGTCTAACTCAAGGTTTCTGACAACCCATAGCTCTGGAGAGAGGACTTGCGAGTCTCTCCCTCTCCCTCTCCTTCCTTGGAATCAGAGCAAGGGAAGTGGGTTACATGGGCACCCTCATTACACAGGGTGGCTTCACCTGTCTGTCTTCTCCAAGATTTAGCATCTTCCACCAGGTTAGTTAAGATTATCTCGTCAACAGCTCAGGTCTAGGAGCTACTGCTCACACTTAAGTGCAATGGAAAATGTTTGGATCCTCTTGCCCTTGGCACTGCAACTGGTGGCACACTCTGGTCGAATGTCTTTGTGCAGCGAGGAGGGTATAAGGCCAACATACAGACCTGAGTCTTGAAATGGAAGTAAGCCGAGCAAGTCTTTCCACCAGCTTGAGTTCTTGCCGTTCAGACTGCCCTAGGTTAGGGGAAGATATAGTCTCTAAAGGCCCCCTTTGCATTTCCAATGGAGTTTGGGCCAAGACCCAGCAGCAATGTAGTATGTTTTGTTTTACTTCAAAGCCTGTGTCTAGTTCTTGTTCAAAGAAGTTATAGATTGGGATGGCGATTGAAGAGCACACCGTTTGATCTGGTCTTCATTCACCTTGATCATTTCTCCTAAAATTCCATGAACCACCTCTGGCATCCTAACAATCTGAGGCAATCGAGACACCCCATTTTCAACATTCTTTACAAACTAAAATCCTTTTTGTTTCCTTTTCAACCTTTTGGTGTGAATTGATTGACAGTGTTCAGAGCAGATCAGTTTGACATCCAACCATTCACTCTCATGCTGTTCCATCTCGTTCATTGCCATCTCCTCCCGGGGCCATCACGTGGCCCTTTTCGTCCCTGTGGCTCCTTCTTATACCACCCTTCATCCAGAGGGCACAGCATTGTCTCATCCCTTCCCACGTGCTTTCAGAGGTAGCCAACATCCCACAAAGCAGTGCTTTCTTCTGTATACAAAAACAAATAAAAAAATAAATAGACTCAACTTTTAGGGATTGAATGTGGTTAGAGCCTCTCACGGAGAATCTGAGGTTGGTTTTCAGACACAAACTCTTCATGGTGCACCATGAAAAATTTTGAGAGACTAACAGGGAGCCCACCCAATAGCTTATCATCGACACTGGTACTAGACCTATCTCTAATATCATTGTATCTTAAGATCACTTTCTGTTATTTCTCTTGATAAGATTTCTGTGCTCGAAAAGCATTTATTCTGGAAAAGAAGTTTAGAATTTCTATTCAGTGATTCCTCATCTTTTTAGAGCATCGGATGTAAGCTCTCGTCCTTCATCCTAGAGAGTGCACTTACACTGAACGTCTGGTATGTGGCTTAAGGGCTCCTGGACACCCCCCCACCCCAGAAGCCCCAAGTGAGGAGCATTGTTCTAGTGCAGCTCCAGGCAGGCCCAGGGTCCATGCAGTCCACTGCTGCTGAATAATATGTCTTATTTTTAACTCTGTGGGCTTCACGATCTGTTGCCAGTGCACCGAGACCAACAATATAGAGATCCCTTTTGCACCTTATTATTTTTGGAACGTTTTAGCTTCCTTAGTCAGTCAGCTGCCTAACATTAAGCTATCACCCTCCATCACGAAACTCTTAAGAGGCGGTTTGTACCTGCAAAGAGATAGTGAGATCTGTAAGCTGCAAGATACGGCGGAAATTTCCCATTGTTGCAGACCTTCCTATGGGACCAGGCTCAGCTCAGCCCCCCTAGTCCTCTTCCAGCACTGGCTACCAACTTCCCCTGACCTCTACAGACACACCTCTTGGTTTGATAGGCCCTTCAAACTATACCCACTGACCGGATATCTGGCATCCCATGTTTCTTGGCACTCTGATAGGGAATTAAATTAAACAGACAGGTCCACCTGACCCTTTGAAGCAGGACGTGTGGACTCTACTTCCCCTTTTGCTGGTAAGCGCCTCTTTACCTTGGCTACTCAGCCATTTCTAAGCGCTCCCGATATTGATGCTTACTTTTTTTCACTTCTGCTTGGTTATAGCACCTCCCCCATCACAGCTTTGTGGGGTGCCTGAAGAACTTGCATTTGGATTTAAAACCCTTGGATCACCCCTCCACAAGTGTCGGGGTGTCCCCCTGCACAGGGAGCTCTTTAGAGAAAGGCATTTATTTCTCCCAAGGAGGAGGCCATGTCATCCTAGGTAAGGAGTTATTTGCTAGACGTTATACGGTGGTGCCTTAAAATCTCCAGCGTTTTCTGTAATGCTGATGCTTGACCTTCTGCTTGTCTTTTTAAAGATAATGCTGCACTGCTGGGTCCAGAATTTAAGCTTGTTTTCAGCATCCGCCCAAGAAGTCTCACTGGGTTCCTGATACACATTGGAAATCAACCGCAGAGGCACTTGTGTGTGTACATGGAGGCGGGGAAGGTGAGTGGCTGTCGGACGGAGCGGAAAGGTGTGTGGATTCACAAAGGATCCCGGTCCCACTTCTGAAGGCCACAGTTGGTGAAATCATAATAGAAGTCAACCTCATATTTCAGAGACCTTACGTCAGGACCATTTTAGCATTATATTTCCTGTTCTTTAAAAGTAGGAAACCCCAACCAGCTGTGTTGAATTCTGGTGGCACTACGTAGTTAGACGGACTTAGGCAAGTTCTTTCATCACTCATAGACTCGGTTTCTTTATCTGTACAATTTGGAGAACAAGTTTCATATGGTATGGCTTTCGTCAAAATTATAGAAAGTGACATATACTCAGTGGATGTTTTTCTGGGTTTTTTTTTCCCAATCCTCTCTTTCGTCTTCAACACATCACTTCTTTGATGCATCAAGCAAGGTCCAGAAGGCATGGACTGGCTCTTCTCCCTAGTCATCTACACCACATCCCACCCATGCCTATGGCCCCACTGAATCTGTCTCAGATTCCTCTTTTTCTTGACCCACAACTCACCAGCCCCTCTAACCTCTCCTTCCCCGCTTCCCATTGGCTTCCATGCCAGCTGCCCTTGACCCAGAACTCACCAGCCATCTCTAGCCTCTCCTTCCCCGCTGCCCACTGGCTTCCATGCCAGCTGCCCTTGATCTTGCGGCCCTTGCTTCGGCTGCTTTCTCCTTCTCTCACTCCCAGGCCCGAGCCAGGATCTTATTTTCTATTCCCAAGCATCATTTCTTCTGATCTCAAAACATCTCCTTAAGACCAAATTCTTCCAGAAAGTCTCGCTTGGCCCCAAATTCAGGGTGGATAATATGCCACTCTTGTTGAGCTCCGTCCTTCTCCACTTTTACTGAAAGCGAGAGGGGAAACCACAGAGGAGAGTCAAACAACCACAATTCCAAGAACACTTTTGTCATGGAAGTTGTCACCTTGAGGGCAGGGCTGGTCTTCGGTCACCCAGAAAGGCAACCCAACAAGCTGTTTGCTGGACAAGTTGGGGCAAGGCCCATTTTTCCAGACAGGGTTAGGGAGAGTCTCTAGCCAGAGCTGTGGATCAAGAACGACCGAAAGGGAAGGAAGAGCTACTGCCCTGCAGGGCCGCGGGGGCACTGCTGAGCTAGACAAGTGCCAGAGAAGAGGCTGCACATGCAAATTACATGCAAATTGTCAGGCTGCACATGCAAATTACATGCACATTGTCTCTCGTGTTTTATGTTAATCCTCTCCTTTCACTCACCTGAGTCAGCCTTTGCAACATGGTGGCGGAGACGCTGACCTGGAGCACAGGAATGGGAAATTATTCACAGCAGCATGGTGACTGCCTGAACCCCCCCACCCCCACCCCCCCACCCCCCGGTGTGCCCAGTGCAAATGCCGTCTGTTTTTAAAATTGTCCTGGGCAATGCATTCGCTGAGTTGTCATTGTGTGGCCCTGGAGCAGGGTCCAGGCCTCTGCCACCATGTTTGCCTTCTGAATGTCACATGTCCTTCCAAGCAGAGCTCCAGCCACACCCCAATTGCTAAGGAGGATCCTAACTGTGAACCACTCATCTGTGAGCAGGGCCTGAGGGGGCGTTTACCCCAGGAGGGAATGGCATGGCCATCGGCAGCAGCTTCAGGCAGGCCTCGGGCAGTCAGCAGCTTGCTGGCCTTGACGGAATGCAGCAGAGGGATTGTTCCAAGCCTTGGATCCCGGGGTGATCACCTAGGGTGGGGGTGGCAGGATAAAACCAGTTGCCATCAAGTCAATTCCAACTCGCGGGGACCCCTTCCGTGTCAGAGGAGAACTGTGCTTCCCAGGGTTTTCAAAGGGTGATTTTGGAGTGTGTGGATCACCAGGCTTTCCTGTTGAGATGAGTCGAGGAGGCTTGGAACCTTCAAGAAGCTGAGCACAATAATCGTTTGCACTTCCCACTGACAACCTGATGCAGGACAGCGACCGGTGTCTAATGTGTCCCTGGACGGTCAGGGTGGTGTGAGCTCGGCTGGCAGGATAGCAGGGGAGGGCTGGGTCCACCTATTTTCTGAAGGAAAGGGGAAAATGAACGAATGTGTATTTCAGGTCACCGCCTCTGTGGCCAGTGGGGCAGGTGGAATCTCGACATCAGTCACACCACAGCGGTCTCTGTGTGATGGACAGTGGCACTCGGTGACAGGTAGGCTGTCTGGTAACCTCTTGTTCATGCACTCAAACAGTTGATGGATGAGCCCAGCTTAATTTCAGTATCCCAAATGGAACCTCCGTTCATCAATCCAACAGAGCCTGCTGAGGGTCCAGGGCAGCCCACCACCATGGCAGGCCTAGCCTCAATCCCAAGAGTATCTCTGTAATTCATAGTTGTGCCTCCAGTTCTCCTTAATGTTCCGGTTGTGTTTTTCCTTGAGGCCGGCACATTGATAAGTCATGGCTGTATTTTCAAGGTAGTATAACGTTGTGGTTTAGATTCGGCATCTGAAGATATCAAGAACAGAACTCAAGTTTCCTTTTATTCCTTTAACCTGTGTGACCTTGGGCAAGTGACTTACTTGCCCTTGCCCGTCATTTTCATCTATAAATGGAGATTTAAAATGGTATAGGCCTTATGGGGTTGTACAAATTAAATAGGATAATGTCTGGAAGTTGTTTAATAATGTCTCATGAGTACATAATGAGTACTCAACTCATATTTGCTCTTATCGTTAGGACACATCACTGGGTTATTTTTTTAACAACCATTTAGGTGTTAATGAACATATTATGCAAACCACTGAGTGAAGAACAGGCATATCCTTTTGAATATAATCTGCTATTTTGTTAATAACTAGAAGATTATATTGGCTAAAGTACCTTCTGTAACAAGGGGTTTCAGATCATTGAAAAGCTAACATTAGAATTAGCTTCATTAGTGGTTCTCAACTTGTGGGTTGAGACCCCTTTCGGGGTTGAATGACCCTTTCACAGGGGTCACCTCCTAAGACCATCAGAAACACATATTTCCGATGGTCTTAGGGCCCGTCTCCAGGCGGGTCTGCCCACATTCAAATATGCCCACATACGAGTACCCGGCATGAAGATTGTTACCCATGCTACACCATGCTTCAAGATACAATTTCATTGATTTGTCATTAGAAATAAATATTTCACAATGTATAATTAAAAACATATTGTTTTTGTGATTCATCACTATGTTTTAATTATGTTCAATTTGTAACAGTGAATATGCATCCTGTATATCACATAGTTACATGACGATTCCTAACAGGAGCAAAATTACAGTTATGAAGTAGCAAAAATAATGTTATGGTTGGGGGGGTCACCACAACATGAGGAACTGTATTAAAGGGTGGGGGCATTAGGAAGGTTGAGAAGCGCTGAGCTAGATCATTAACACAGGAGAGGTTTTCTTTAGAGGGTCAAAAGCATTGATATCCTTGGCCTTGGTGTATGAAGACTCCTGTCTTCTTGGAAGGAGCTGTGATCATGGGAACTAGGCATGACCTTGGGAGACAGGTGACCTAACTCTTTCAAGTTATAACCAAATCATTTTGTCAAGGTCTTCAGTGAGCCTCAGTCTCTAATAAAACAGCTGTGGTCAGTCAACTCTGCTTCGTGGTGTCTCCATGTGTGGTCCAGTAGAACCGGTGACTGGTTTTTCAGAAGTTGATCACCAGATCTTTCTTCTGAGTGTCTCTGGGGAGGACTTGAACGACTAACCTTTTGGTTCACAGCTGAGCACATTAACCACTTTTGCCACCCAGAGTCTCCATCCATGAGACAGGAACAGTAATCTCACCCTCGTTGACATATTTGAAGGATTAAACCCAGTAGCACAATCGTATGTGGAAGTGCCTCAACACTGCCTGGTGTTCAGAAGGTCACTCACCTTAAGCCTGACTTGATCCAATTCCTGCAGGCAGTGCTTCCTCCGTTCAATAGCAATGAACTAACCTGGAGACAGTGGGGGAAACAGGTGGACCTCCTCCCAGGAAATTGACTTGACTTACCTCCTTCTCCCCAGTTACTATAAAACAACACATCCTGCACCTGGAACTAGACACAGACAATAGCTACACAGCCGGACAGCTGGTCTTCCCACCTGCCAACACTCAAGAGCCACTACACATCGGGGGTATCCCAGGTAACTCATCTTGACTTCTACACCCTACTGTGTCCAATAAGAGCCTTTAGCATTTTTATCTGAACCCAGCAAAGGAGAGGCCCTGGCCCACAGCTTGATATAGGGCAGCCAGTGCCCCGAAGATGGGGAGGGGGAAGACCTTGGCGTTTTAGCACTTGAGAAACCTAGTTGTCCAAAATAGGCATCTATCATTGCTGCTTGTCCCAGCCTCAAGCTTATCATTCACAAGCATCTCGTAAGAGGCTACATTAACCCAGACGCTTCATAATAGCAAAGAATCAGGAAAAAGCCTGAAAAAGTAGTCTTTCCCCTCCAGATACTTAGTTTTACCAGTGATTGTTATGCTTTCAGGAGCCCTGGTGGCATCATGGTTACACGTTGGGCTGCTAACCACAAGGTCAGCAGTTCACAACCACCAGCTGAGCCAGGAGAGCAAGGTGGATCTTTCTATTCTCATCAAGAGTTAGTCTCACACGCACAGGGGCAGCTCTACCCTGTCCTATAGGGTCGCTATGAGTCGGTATCGACTCAGTGGCAGGGAGTTGGGTCTGTTTCTGTGAAGCTTTGAGGGACCAGAATGGCAGGATCAGGCAGCTTGAGATGTAGTCAAATAGCAAGCTGGAGTTTTGCCTGGAATCAGCCTTTTCTTCCTTCATTGTTTTCTATCTCTCTAGTAACTTGGCTGGTAATTTATGGGTCTTTCATGACCCATGAAATGCACAGAAGCTGTATCTATTGGTTTGGGCTGTGGGATCCCCATCTTTCAAGAACCGCCTAGTTGCTCATCTATCACCCCAGGCGGTGTGCAGGAAGCCTGCTTGAGGAGGAGATGGTTGAGCAGAGGAAGACCGAGGCTTCCCTTAGCTCTTTCTAAGAAGACAGTTGTCAGGAACAGTGGGCGCATGTATTTCACAGGATATAGTATCCATTGCGGAACCCGGGGGTGTAGTGGATACGCGTTGGGCTGCTAACTGCAAGGTCAGCAGTGTGGAACCACCAGCGGCTCTGAGGGAGAAAGGTGGGGCTTGGTTCTCCTGTAAGAGAGTTACAGTCAAGGACACTCACAGGGGCAGGTCGCCTCCGTCCTGTAGGGTCACTGTGAGTCGGCTCCAACTCAATGGCAGTGAGTGCAGTCTGGTTTATCTGTTGAATGGCTCTCCTTTCCCCTGACAGACAATTTGAAGACACTGAAGCTACCTGTGTGGAAGCCATTTTTTGGCTGCCTGAAGAATATCCAAGTCAACCACATCCCTATCCCTGTCACCAAAGCTGCACACGTCCAGGGGATCGTCAGTCTTAATGGCTGTCCTGACCACTAACTGGAGCCCGTTACACAGCCACGCCATCCACCTTCAAAAACACCGATTATCCGAGGCCCCCCTCGCCCACAGTGTCAGTCTGGACTGAAGCCACCGTCGGGACTGGTTGAACAGCGAATCTAATTTTGATTTTTGACCAGGCATTCCCATCATTCTGGCATTCTGGCGCTCGATGATACATATATATTTTATATCAAGATCTCATTCTTCGAAGGAGATGAACAAATTATTGTAACCTTTTGGTAATATTATTTTCCATTAAAAATAAATGTCTTTTAAAGAACATTATTTCCCACTCGTTAAAAAGTTAAATATTGTTTAAAGTACTTTAAAAACACAAAACTCTTACATATGTCACAGGGTTATAATTTATGGGGAAAATAAACACAGTGTGCTCTTTAAATGGTGATGTTTTATTAGCATCAATCCAGTCTCTTGATGGTCATTGTTAATTGTATTAGTTCTTTAGCTACCTCTTAACATGCGCCTTCCATCACAGGGGGATTACTAAGCACACACTGCTCTTTAGAAACATGCATTTCACTTTGGGGAGCCAGGTCATCTTTATAAAATAGTAAATAGCTAAGAAGGTGAGTTGATGAGCCTGTGATTCCATGTGGTTTCCCAACCCTAGTCTTCCCAGTTTGCTAACAAAGAAGTGTAGGTGATCAATTCCTTGAGGCTCGAGTTACCTAGAAAGAAATGAGACGGATATACATGTTATAATACTTAAATTGTATGGCAAGCTAACAGGAGTCAATAGGAAGGAAGGGGCCACTTCTAGTTTAATTTACAAAACAAGGAAATAAGTATGCAAGACCAGAATTATTACCCAGCACCACTGGAGAAGACTATACTCTCATTTCTGGATCTATACTGCTTTCGTCCTTCAGGAGAAAAACAGCAAATAATTCTAAAAATTGATTATAAGAATCCTATATGGTGTCCTCAGAACGATAAGCCATACATCCCTGAAAATGAACCAAAATGCAAATCTCTAATGACTTTCGCACCACCATCTTGCAGATATGCATCCTAATGATCATATCTACAAGATTGAAATGGTCTCCTGGAGAGGTCAGAGGTCGCCATGACAAAGTATTCCACAGAAGGTACTCACAGAAGGTAGTAGACCCTCAGGGATCCCATTTGGGGGTGGCAGTTCAATTGCATAGATCTGAGACTCATGCATTCTGAAAACATTGATTTTTATGACAAGCCCATACGGGAACTCGGTTCTCCCTGAACTGCCTTGGACAGGTCTACACTACACCCAGGACCCTCTCCTCTGTGTTCCTGACCGGTTCACAGAGTTACTTATGAATGTTTTGTTGTTGATGCTGTTAGAACTTCCTAGAAGCATTTTAAAGTTGGGGAGGACAATAATTTTTAGTAGTTTGAAGAACTACTAAAGTTTCCAGCAGCCTTGCCACCAGGAAACCACAGAGAGTACCCGAGGTGGAATTACCATTCAGGACACACACATTCCTCTGGGTGACTCTTCTCAGATTGGACATCGTGCCACAGCAGCTCCCGTTTTCTGCTCTGACTCCTTCAAAACCGAACCAAGGCCAGCTCGGGTCCAGCTGATCCAGATTCACGGAGATGCCGTGTGTGAGAGAGTGGATCTGCTCTATGGGGTTTGCTCGGCTGTCACCTTCCGACAAGCAAATCACCAGCCCTTTCTTCCTGGGTGCTGCTATAACTTCGAACCACTCAAACCAAAACGAGAATCGTGAGGGTGGTGCAGGTCTGGATGTGCTGCGTTCTGTTGTATGAGTTGGAACCCATGCCGATGCATCTAACGACAGAATGACTGTCTTTTGGAATGTAAACCTACATATTAGGATTAATTCTTAGATGTGAAGCTAGTGGGTTCAAGGACGCGAGCATTTTCATGGTGGTTACTAGCTATTGCCAAATCATTCCCCTAAAAGGCACGTCCATTACATTCAAGATCATTTGCACTGACATTTGTCCTGGATGTCGCTAAATATAACCCCATGAACATCCCCCCTACACACACACACACACACACACACACACACACACACACACACACGGGTGCCAAGGCAGGGAGGAGTTGTTTGATTAACACACAGCTCTTAGAAACCTGCTGGGATCCAGGCCCATTACATTCAGGATCATTTGCACTGACAATTGTCCTGGATGTCGCTAAATATAAACCCATGAACATCCCCCCTACACACACACACACAAACCCATGAACATCACACACACACACACACACACACACA